AGATGTGTGAACATGATTGCACAAGGGTTTTCTAATCATCAATTAGCCTTCTGAGCCAATGAGCAAACACATTGTACCATTAGAACACTGGAGTGATAGTTGCTGGAAATGGGCTTCTATACACCTATGGAGATATTGCACCAAAACATTTGCAGCTAGAATAGTCATTTACCACATTAGCAATGTATGGAGTGTATCTCTTTAAAGTTAAGACTAGTTTAAAGTTATCTTCATTCAAAAGTACAGAGCTTTTCCTTCAAATATAAGGACATTTCAATGTGACCCCAAACTTTTGAACGGTAGTGTATGATACAAATTAACATGTTAATAATAATAACAATATTTTTTTAATAATTTAATTTTATTGATCTCACATCGGAGAAATGTACCTCTGCATTTAACCCATCTCCTTGGGGAGCAGTGGGGTGCCATTGTGGGGCGTCCAGGGAGCAATCAGGCGAGTATTAACTATTTTAACCTGTAATGTAATTAATCCTTAAAAGGCTGCATCATAAACAACTCTGACAGAGGGGACAAACCTGCAGGAATGAAGGCGAACTTGTATGACCGACAGGATCCCACCCTAGTTTGTCTTTAACAGCAGCCATAATTCAGGCAGGCGGAGGGCGAGGAATGCCTCACAGCAACATGAAATACTACAACTGAGTGCGGGGTCAGGGAAGCTACTGAGATTAGAAATCAAATAAGTCTCTTTCTTCTTCTTCACAGGGCTAAAGATTCCCCACAGCGTCACTTTTCTGGGTCACTGACTTGTTTCAGCGTTTCACAAAAGGAGTCTGCGACCTGTGACCGCTCTGAGGCGAGAGGTCGAGCTGAAGGAGGGAGGGGGAGTCACTGGGAGTATTTTAAGGGGGATCTGGCCGTCCTCCGTTCTGTCAGCACCAGGGAACCCAGTCAGGCCGCAAACTGGCCCTCAGCAGAAACCAGAGGAACCAGCAGCGCTTTCAAACGACTCCACCAGACGTTCTGCTCCTGCTTCCTGGAAATATGTCCCGTCCCGCTAAAATTTAAGGATGAAATCGTATCTTGATCTTATCAAAAAAGACATTTCTTCCACTCATGTTAGGTTCATCTCCTCAAAATTGTATTTTTCCGTCTCTCTGATGTCTCTTCACTCAAGACGATTTTGGAAAATATGTGCCTTTCCATCTGGTTTTATAATAAGAACAGTTTTCTGGACAAACATGTCCCATAGGGAGCTTAAAGAAGGCCTCCTGTGGGGGAACACACTGTGCAGGATTGGCAGAGGAACACAAGGAGATACTAAAACAAGCTCTTAGCCTTAAAAGTCCTGATCCATTACATCAGTTTGGAGTTAATCTGTCTGATAGGAGGCTGTTTGGGCCTGCAGCTGCTGCTCTGACTGGCTGATAGACGGATCGGTTCGGAATAATCTCACCTGGAACATGGTTAGCTCTTCCAGAATGACCTCCTCTGTTTCCCAGTTGTCTTTGATGACAGACACAGCCTTCACCACCTTCCCATCATCTGGAAGATATCACATCAAGAAGAAAAGGGAAGGTTCAATGCACATTTACATAAGGAGGTCGCTGCTATTAAATATTGCAGAAATGCTTCGACTTTGGAAAGAAAGTTCTTTTGTTTTGTTTATTCTCTTCCAGACATGTGTAATGATTCCAACTCTCATTCGGTGCAACTAAAAAATCTTACTGGTGCTGATGCTGACTGGTTTACTGTATCATGCCCCGAATATCTTATTTGAGCTTTCTTTTATGTTCATGATGAATGGATGGATGGATGGATGGATGGATGGATGGATGGATGGATGGATGGATGGATGGATGGATGGATGGATGGATGGATGGATGATGGATATTAGCAGTAACTTTAGCTAAGTACTCTGAATCCTAAAGGGAGCATCAGGGCTGAAACATTTTGCAGCAGGAACATCTATGAAGAATGCCACCATCATCAATCTATCTTCTATTTGCTGCATAACCACCTGTGTGAGAAACTAGAGGATAGTTTAGCGCATTTTACCCAGAGTGGATCTTCATTAGAGGAGTTTTACTCTCTACATGTTTCAGCCATATCACAGCAGGACATTAGGAAATACTTCTCCCCCGTCAGATTCTTTGGTTCCTCCCACAGTCCAAATATACGCATGCTGGGAGAACTGGTGAGTATACAGTGGAGCCTTAGCTATGTTTGTCCTGCACTGGGGAGCAGCTGACCTCTTCCCTCACCCTGCCTCGACTGGAAGGAGCTCTGTGCTGTGGTGAACACAGCAGCTCACCTTCTGGGAGCTTTAAAGGAAGATGCACATGGCATCCACCCCAGTTACTTTTTTAGACTGGAGAGGATGGAAAAGACTTTATATAGGCTTTTTCTTTACTCTCACCTGAAGACACTTAACTAAGCTCATAAAGGCAGAATACTGAGCAACACTCTAATGATTTTTGTTTTTTTAAGACAAAGCCACTGATCACAGGCAG